TTTCTAATACTTATAGAAGACATCTTCGATTTTTGTCATTGATTTATTAATTCTACCTATGGCGTGCTGATGAGATCAAAAAAGTTTGAAATCGCGATCTGGTGGTTTCGACAAATTACTGACTTATATATAACTTCCGTTCTTATAAATAAATAATCAATGGTCAAATTAAACGCCGAAATCCAAAAATTCCATTTAAAAACGCTCAGAAACTTAAAACTGGTTTCGACACCTAATGTTTTAAAAAAATCTTATTCTAAATATGCAAATCTACTTTGGAATAACCAGTTAGTTAGTAGTCAGCTGATTACTAGTGTTAACGTTCATTGACAAATCGAGCGTGAGTCACTTGCACAGGATGTCGTAGATATTCAAGTTATAATCCTGATGCTTACAAACGTAGCTACCTATGCAGATACATAATATGAAGGTGGAATGACACAAATACGAATGACAATTACTTGTATTAAATTACGCGCAGTGAGTTGGTTTAGCGGTTTGCGGTTTCCGTAGGAAGAGAACAATGTGAACAACGACTCATACACACGACGTGTAACAACCACGCAGATTTGTTTTCTTCTACAGTGGAATACGTTTATTATGACTCCGCCTATATTGACCGACCGCTCAATATGAAATAATTGTAGTGTTAAGTTTGGTTTTCATATTAAATTCTCTAAAGAAAGTTTGGATATAAAGACTCCGTTTAAAATGACATATCGTTTATTATGACTGATTCTCAAGAAATCGTATTCGGCTATAGTGACCCAAATGATTAATAATAACACTTTCGCTCATTTTTCTGACCGTTCTTATGTATATTGATATTACAATTCATCGTTATTTTTGTTTTTCTGTTAATAAATATATACAATTTGTAGTTTTTCTCTCTATTAAACTAAATAACTACCAAAAATAGAAAGTTGATTATTTTCTAAGACTATGCTTTGTATCACGCCCGCTTATTATGACGTGTTTGTCATTTCCTTTCGATGTCATTATAAGTGGATTCTACTGTAGTTATTTACGATTATTCATGAAGCCATATACCAATTATGAAAAGTTTGTATGCAGGTCGTCAATTTTACGAGAGAGATAAATTTATCGTTAGCATGAGCTTTTTCTAAACGACAATAATTTCGTTTAAGGATTCCCATTTCATGATTGCGGATATCAATAAAGGGACTACATTAGTATTATTGATGTCTTTGACTGATCACAGCTATTAATTGCCCAGTTTCAGTTTCACTTGCTCAAATTTTGAGTTTTACAATTTGCTTGTTCAGTTTATATCTCGGCTGCTACATTACCGATTAACATTAATGTGAATTAATATTAAAAAATCCTTAAAATTAAAGAGGAAAAATTGTTGCTGCTGTCTAAAAACATTATTAAATATTAACCTCTATTAAATAAAAAATAAATTTCTTCAATTGGCAATTACAAAAAATGTGAATTTTCCCTTAAAATATTAAGATAGAAAAACTATTACTGAAATAGACATCCCCTAGAGCCTAGACGATAATGTAGATTTAATTCTGTGTGAAATGTAATAAAAGTTACAACTGAAATAAAAGTCTGTAGACAGTGGACTTCGTGTTATGTAGTAATCGGCAATCCCTTACAAGCCATTAAGCTATAACCACGAAAAGAACTTCTCTCTCCATTTCACCAATTACAACAATATAACATGGTCAAGCTAATCTGCTCGAAAGAATAATTATCTGACTTTCATCTCTTATATTTTGTTGCTATGATTCATGTCTTAACAATAGTAGGCAAGTTGTAATACTAATGCTACTTAATCATTAATTAATTGCGTATTCTCAGCCTTCATTATTTTGTATTCTGTAAAAATTGGATGAGTTGTAGGTACGGTTTTTTACAAAACAATACGATGTAGTCACATTTTGTTATAATATAATGTGATATCGTAATACACAATTTTCCTGTGTTTCATTGCTTTCTTAATTTAGTTTTTGCAGTATAATTACTTGCATTTAATTCATATATACAACTCTGAACTAAGTAGTGGGGTAGTTCCATACACTTTTCTATACCACAAGTACTCATTAAAAAGGTTTCCTTTCTTGTTCCCTTCACTTTATTTTTATTTATGAACCATATTTAATTACTTGTTTCTTAACGTTAGCGTAGTTAGTTACTTTTCTATACCTTGGACTACCCTTTCTGGGCAGATAGAATTTATTTTCTACCTTTAGAGGTCTGATAAATTAAAGTAGGGATATAGGCTATTCAATAAAAAAATATCATTAATGTCAGTTCATAATTAGTGATAAAAACACGAAATATAGACAAAAAAATCAGTCAAAATGAAAATATCCATTTTTGTTTAGATTGGTTGCAAAGGATGTATTCCAAAAGTTTTTTCTTCAAATTCCAGTTTACCAATTGGTTTTCTTTGATAAGAAAATAATTAACTAATAATATTAAATCGAAACTTTACCTATAATTACCTTTATTCGGTGTCGATACCCTCAATGATTTCATTTTTTTGTTTATTTATGATTAAATTACTAGATACGTTCTATAATATGTAGTTACTTACCTAATAAATTGATCAAACCTTTCAGAAAATGAAATTTAATTTCAGTTCTTAACTTAAATCTGAAAAGATGAAGGGCTGCTTCTTTAATAATTGAATAGTTCAACAATCTATACAACATCCTATATCCTGTATTGATTTTATCGAAGTATCTCTAACGTTTCATTTGAATAGAAAACGCTAAGAAATCACTGAATTGGGCTCTACGACTTCCTTAAATTTTTACCTTAATTGTCTAAGCAAACCCTTGAATACAACTAGGGTTGCCACCCGTACTTTATTATAAAGACACATAAAGTACGCAAAAATACTTTATTTAAGGCCTTAAGTAAACATCGTAATTTTGTAAGCGATTATTCGAAATTCAGAGTATTTTTACATCAATAATATTGCACAGAATAATGGCAAGCCTTATTTACGGAACAACCTGATTTCCCAAATCTATTCAAAGTAGTGTCACTATTGCTATCCGTTTCGGCCATTTCAGCATTTACAGAAAGAGTATTCTCTATTATGAACGCAAAGGGGCGGGACGACAGGAATAAAGCTTCATTAAAACTAATTAAAAATGAACTTTTAGTTTACTTAAATCTTTGTTTGCCATGTTTAGAGGCTATTAATGTATTTAAGAGCGACAGCAAAAAAGTATGTTTTTAAAAACAAAAAATAAAATACTTTATTTTTATGCGGAGTACTTTCTTTTTGAACCTTTTAGTCGAGAAATACTTTATGTGAAGCCTGAAAAGGTGGCAACCCTAAATACAATTGAGAAAAAAGAAAAAGCGAAAACGTTTCGTAATTATACTTGAGTAATATCTTGATATTTAATTCAAATAGATTTACTGAAATATTCTTTCAAATAAATTAGTGAATTATTGAAAATAATATCCCTTTTTTAACACTACCCTTGCATATATCAAATGCTGTCTTATGTAATTGACGTTCTTATATTTTTTCGTACAAGTTTTGGATTCAATTCAAATGCAAAAAATACGTATACATATATTCACAGACAATATCCAACAGGATATATGATAAAATTTAAATGTCCGGAGTGTGGACGTCATCGGAATTTTAATTACTTTTTAATGGAACTGCAAGATGCCATCGTCGTGTACGTCCAAGAACCAATTTCCTGTAGCAGATTGCATCCCTAAGCCAATTTCAATTTCCATTATTTTTATTACCACCGCCTTATTGGATAAGGCTGTAGGAATGAAATATGTATTCAACTGTTTTTATTCGTTTGTTTCTTGGCCATTTTGTTACGTAAGGTTAGATTAATAGGCATTTTATTTATTGAAACCACCGGGAATTACAGACAAAGTAATTTCTCGTTTAATTTTCAGACAACACATATTTTTACAATTAGTTAAACCAATGGACAGACAGCTAGGACTTGTCGGCGAAACGCCAGGTTCATTATGTATTAACGATAACTATTAAAAATGAATTGAATTAACAAATAAAACATGTAACCTAACTGCAAATAATTTGCTGTAAATTGTCTATGGATTATCAATGAAACTCAATATTTTAACATGTTATTGTTTCCTTTTTAATTCAATGTCCTACTAACAAGATCTCAGCATAGAACACAAGGATTGCACCCAAAAATTGCCGAAATAAGGAGTCCCAATATTATAATCATATAAGAAGGCTGGTTGAAGATACGTCTTCTGTTCTCTCTATCTTGAGTGCAAATAGTAATTTAATATAGATCTGCCTCTACCACCCTTAACTTTTGTCTCTGCTTCTAATATGTATCTAACTAGCCGTTCACTTATGAGAAGGTGTCTTACCAACCTATCTCGCCTATTTCCTATTGACTTCCATAAGGCCCTCTGTTCTCCTACTCATTCTAATATCTCCTCATTTGTAACCTTCTCAACACTTACTTTAGAAAAATGAGGAGATTTTCAATTCGATTTCTTCGCCAATATAGTGAACTGATTTTAATCTTTTTTTTTTTTTGGATAGGTTATATTTTAAGAGCGGTCTCGTTTAATTTTAAAGATAATATTCCATTTCCAAGAGTGGAAAATTAGAAGATGATGAAAAAATACTCGGAAAATTAACGCCACCTTATATTTTTGGACAAATCTTTTTAACTCTGGTTTATGTTTGTGCAAATGGGCAATGTGTTGAAATCGACTTTTATAAATCAGTATGAAACACACAATTTTTCATAAGTATGTTCAAAATAATACCACAGTTTCTCTTATCTATCGGTTTAATTTCGATGTTGATTATACCCACATTAGGGCGGGTCAGTCTCTTTCGATTTATTTTTTATGTTGTGTACACCATTATCATAAGGTTTTTGTTAATTATAAAATATTTTTTCCACACTTTCTCCGCCTTCTTTGTAATTTCTTCCTATTCCTCAAGGTTTTGTCAATTTTGTGATGATAAACGTTAATTTTTTTTGCAGATGAACAGTTTACAATTTTTGCACCCAGCGGAAATGTTAATTCTCAAGAAATGAGTGTTATCGAAACGAAGGAACAACTCGAACAGCTTTTGCTTAATCACATCATTCTTGGCTCAAGAATAGATCCTTCAAACATAACCGACGGTATCTACAAAACTGCTGGTGGACAACTAATTCACGTCACATCCAAAGACGGAAAGTTTCTTGCCAACTCAGCGGGAATTATCGAATCAAAGGTACCTACGATCTATTTTAAACGATCATTACTATTATATAAAGTACGATAACCCATGCATCCTTTAAAAACTCTGAGTCATCACTTTGAAACGATACTTGCGATAAATTATTATCCATCAAAGCACACGTATCAAAACCGAAACTATAGAAGTGCCCAAATGTATTTTTATTATTTTTAATAAGTAAATGTATTACCTGCTGACTTTCGATATTTTTGATTTTTATGGTTTCTTTGTTTTTCAACCCAATAGGTGTAACCGTTGAATAGTTTTGTACACTGTAAAAAATTACCCATTGGATTTTAATGTAAAACATTGGAAGTCATTAATAAATATTACAATAGAGTATTTTAGAAATTATTGGATTTTCAAGTATATTAAGTANTTTCATTGAAAATGTAAGTAATTTTTTCAATAAGTTTTTATGTAATTCATAATATAATTATGAAAATAATTGGCCGGAAACTCGTGGTGAAACATTATAATAATAACTAATAATAAAAAAATACTTGAAGAAGTTTAACTAAACTTTATTACCAACTCGATGTACATTTCGCCTTCTTAGGGCATCTTATTTAGTACTAAACTTTTGGCTACAATATTTCTGTTAAATACTAGGGTGCTTAGGTAGTGTTAACTTAGAATATAGAAGGGGGTTGTTACCGAACTCTAGTTGATCATTAGCTAGTTTTTAGTTTAATGAAATTGCTTTTTTTATTTCCAAAATCTCGTATCGATCTAAAACTTTACCTTCTTTTAGATAGTGTAATAACTTTAAATTATTGATAAAGTCCGACTTTCCTCTCATTTAATAGATAACAATCACATTGATTCCAAAAATAACTTAAAGTTATTACACCATCTAAAAAAAGATAATGTTTTAGGTCGATACGAGATTTTGGAAATAAAAAAAGCAATTTTATTAAACAAAAAACTAGCTAATGATCAATTAGAGTTTGGTAACAACCCCCTCCTAGATCCTAATACTACCTAAGTACCCTGGTATTTAAGAAATATATTGTAACCAAAAGTTTAGTACTTAATAATAATCCTGAAGATGGCTTAAGAAGGCGAAATGTACATCGAGTTCGTAATAAAATTTAGTGAAACTTCTCCAAGTGTCTTTTTATTATTACTTATTATAAAACAATTAGTCAACAAATAAGTTTAAACATTGGTGTGCTTCTTCTTACAGTTAGCCATTTGTAAAACATATAATGCATTTCACAATATATGTATATATACAAAGCAAAGCAATAAAAACCCACGAACATGGAAGTAGTTACTCTTACTGGCGTTAAAATGTATTATACGACTTGCACGTATATCGACCTATTTAAATGGATATTTTTGTTTAGTAGCTACGGGAAAACGCCGCGTCAGAACGCATTTTCCTGATAGTCTATACGCGTGTCGAATTACCAATTGATCCAAAAGCCGATGTCTTTTAGTTATTCCACCAAATATTTTTATGTAACTCGTATAAAGTGTTACACAGAGGAAATGTATCGCCATCTGGTGGGTATTTTCTGCCACTAAAGTTTTCAAAATATTTCAACGCAGCTTACATATATACGCGATAGATACGTAAATCAGTTAATTTAAGTTCTTGATCAGAAATTTATTAAAACTATCAGATGCAGCACGAAGATCGCAATTTAATATTATTATAAATTAAAGTAATGCTTTCTACAAACTGACCGCTACCACTTTGTAGAAATACTTCATACTTCGTAAAATATTTTTCTGAGAGTGTTAAATATAAAGAATAATAAAAAGCAACACATTTGTTGGAAACGTATGCATATGTAGAAGTTCATACCAAATGACCTGTTGGAACAAACTATTGAGCAATCCTACTACCTTTAATAATACAGAAAAAAAATATACGGATACCTACTTCCAGGAATTTCCCTGGAAAATTTATCAAAGTAATTGCTGTGAACGCTACAAGAAACATGCAATATATGAATTCCTTTTTTTTTTTCCTAATATCCACACCGATTTTAATCAATTTGCCTTGAAGAATTGTAAGTAGATTATAATTTTTTATCATCATTCAGACTATGTTATTATCCCAATCTCCAGTACTCTTTTGCTTAGTTGCAATATTTAGAAACTTCATTAATTCAATTGTTGAAACATAGCTAATAGGTACATGTTTATTATGCTTATATGGTTCAAAAGGCGTAATCGACTACCCATATACCCGGCAACAAATTCGTTACGAGATAAATTTCAGATTATATACATTAATCCCATAATTGGAAATTTTAATTCAATACAAAGTGCAATTAATATTTTAATTGGTCGTATTTTAAAAATGGCAATTGTAATGGTAATTCGATTTGAAGTAATAGCTTATTCGTATTTCATACAGGTCCATGTATGTGTATAATTAATAACAGAATTATTGTTTCCTGTATCAACGGCAATATGGGACTAATTTATACCCTTATCAACAATTCGGAAGTAGTGTTTACGTAGGTCAGTGGTGCAAGGTATGTACATACCTACCAAATATCAAATTAAAAATGTCAGCATTCTATGTATGTTCATTCAAAAAGAGTGCGGGACAACCGGTCACACGTGCGAGAGTATAAGACACGCCAAAGGTAGACGCATCAACATCATAAGATCGTTAGTCGTAAGACTAGTTGGACACGCACCTCCACTCTTTGTTATCCTGGGCTAATCTTCGCATTTCCCTACTAGAACAACCCACATCCTTAACTATTTGCGAACAGTAATCTAATAGAGATCTACCTCTTATAGTTCTCTGTTCTCCTACTCTTTCTAATGCCTCTTAATTTCTAACCTTCTCTATCCACAGTATCCTCATCATTCGCCTGTAACACCACATTTCGAGCGCTTTTAACCTTTTCTTTTCCAACGCGCCCACCGTTCATATTTCGCACCCGTACAGCGCCGCCCTTCATACATACAATTTTAACAATCTTTTTCGAATTTCTAAACTAATCGTTCGCGTACATAGAAGTGACTTATTTTTACTGAAGGCGACTCGGCCCTGCGCTATCCTCTGGTTTATATCCCTACTACTCCTTCCATCCTGACTTATCTGACTTCCTAGATACCTAAAATCAGTTACTTCTTCTAATTTTTCCTGTGTTTATATTCGCTCTTCTTTCCCTACTTTTTCTTCCCTTGCATCTTCGCATAAGGTGGTATTAAGTGAAAAGTATAAGAATTTATGTTATCAGAAAACTTAAAAATATCTAAAATGTTCATATTGGAACTAAAATTGACTAAAGGTACAGGAATCTTCTCTTTAAAATCATTGAATAATTCCTGAAAGATGATTACTTCTTTCTACGCTTTTAGTTGAAGCAAAATTAATAAAAATAAATTCATACAGAATTAACCCTTCTGCATTGTTAATTATGAGCTTCATTTTACGCAAAAATAAAATTTAAGTAGAAAATTAATTGTAATGAAAACACATTTGAACAATCGTTTGATAGTTTTATTGAATGGTTTGAAGTGTTTTATTATTAAATTTCAGGTTGTGTCTCCAAACGGAGTGCTAATCGTCATCGACAGCTACCTTTTCCTTGATAAATCGGAGCTAAACGAAGAGATGAAAAACAAAACTCTGGAAAAACCCGCGGCTATCCTTCCGTTAATTAAAAGGAAGGAACAGGATTCGAAAACACCGGAAGGAACTGCCAGTTTTATGGAAAACGTGTTACAAGTTCTATCCTATCTTAAAAGTGGAGTTCGAGTGTTTCATCACTTTTTATCACGGTCTAACGTGTCGAAGCTCATCAAAGAAGGTAAAAAAATACATTCTACTGTATCTCATTATTATTTCTGTTTTAACTTGGAACTCGAAAGTATATTACTACTTTAGTAAGTATATCACAATTTGTCTTCGACTCTCGTAATTTTTAAATAAAGGCAATAAAACAAAATAAATAGTGGAGAAAACGGGAACGTATACAAAAGAATATTATTATCATCAATAAGGTCGTCAGTCCTAAGACAATTTGAACACTCATCTCCACTCTTTCCTATTCTAAGTTAATCTTTAAATTTCCCTGAAAAACTAGAATATCCCACAGCATTAACTACTTGCGAACAGTAATCTAATCTAAGCCTACCTCTACCCCCTCTAACTCCCGTTTCTGCCACTAATACGTCTCTGACTAGACCTTCATGCCTGAGAAGATGTCCTACCAACTTATCTCGCCTATTTTTTATTGACTTTCATAGGATCATTTGTTCTCCTATTCTTCCTAATACCCCTTCATTTCTAACTTTCTCTATCCACGGTATCCTCAGCACTCGCCTGCAACATCAATTTCGAACGCTTCCAAATTAAATGAATAAGGAAAAGCAGTTTTCAATTTTTCCTGCATACCCAAGCAAAAGCAATGATAATAAATTTGATAAACTATTTCAAAAAGGCAAGAAAAAGTGGAAATTCTCTAACCAACACCCAAGAGTGTCTTTTTTATAGTAACACAACTTTTTTGTAGTTCCTGTGTTTTTTAATTTAATTCGTGTTGTTAATAATCTTTGAACCCACACAATAAGACCGGATTTGAAGATATGGGTTCTGGAATCGTTTTTTATTTTAGAGCCATTATTATTAAGAATTCTACCTTCAAAATATTTTTCAAATAGATGATCATTTTCCGTAAAATAAATCTTCTCGACAAATTATTCTTTTACTCTTGATTAGTGATGAGCAAAATGGTCCAAAAACAAGACCAAGACTGTCTTTAGGTTACCAAGACCAATGCCAAGATCGAACGAACAAGAACAAGACTAAAACCAAGACCAAATGAACAAGACCAAGACTAAAACCAAGAACGAATAGGCAAGACTAAACAAAAAATTATTAACTCTAGTGGATTGATGAGTTAATCTGTTTGAAGCCACTTTAATATATTATTTTCTTGGAATAAAACATTTTCAGTATATGAAATTTTCAAATTGCTTTACTAGATTTTAACACTAAATATAAAAAGAAAGAGACTTTACCTCTGTTTGAAAAATGTGATCTACAAGAATGTCCTCGGAGTAAGTGTATTTTGTTCCTGTACCTAGATAACATGTTGTTGACATATAAAGACAAACTATTTTCTTTTCGATATTTTTGACGTGACAACGTCTTATAATTCGATGGAGCCGGCTGCACGCACGAAAAAACATGACTCATGCGGCGTTACCTCGCTCTGAGGCGTTCCATTTAAGGCTTGAAGTTCAAGCGAGAGCGCGGAACGAGCGACAAAGAGGCACAATCGGCCTCCGCGTTCGGCAGCGTTCGACATCTGTCTCTCTCCTACTTGAGTGAGCGATGCGTCCGCTGCTATACAATAATACATTTCTATTTACCTCCTCTATATCCAAACAAATAAAATTAAAATTTTCTTTTGAAAAATGAAACCATTCCATCAGTATTTTTATATGACGTTGTCACGTTCGACTATCGTCAGTAAACCGACTTTACAGACAACCGATTTTTTTTACTTCTTCTACTATTTTGTTTCCTAAAAGGTTAATTTATGCGTTTGAGGAAGAGTCAATTTTTGCTTTGGAGGAAGGGTAACTTCTCAAGTTTCCATAACTTTAACAACTATCGACATTATATCGACAAGCTCTCATGTATGACAGAAAATTTCAGCATTTAAGACAATTATTGTGTCGGTAAATAGAAAAATTTGTACTTAGAATAATTAATTAAAAAAACGTAAATATCAGATTAAATGAACAAGATCAAGACAACACGAAAGATCAAGGCCAAGACCGAGACTATATATATCAGCAAAGCCAATACGAAGACTACAATTATTTGGCCAAGACCAAGGCTAAGACCAATACCGGCCGAGACTATATCAGTAAGACCAGTACCAGTACTAGAAGTGTTTTACCAAGACCAACCCTAGACAAACATTTTCAGTCTCTCAGAGTCTTTCAGCGTCTCTGAGAGCGTATTTCACAGTCTCTCAGTTATTGCCTAGGCGTTCTTATCGATCTCTCACAGTCTCTGTATGAGAGACTCGAACGATAAAATTGTTAATTCAGCGATTGTAGTCTCTCGTTCAGAGACTGGAAACGAAATGAGGATCTCTCTATGAGCGACCCGAGTCTCTCGTTCAGAGACGCTAAACAGTTTTTTTTTGACAGCCTCTCTCAACGACACCAGAGAGACTCGATGAGAGACGGAGACTCGAGTCTTGTTTTCAGAGACTCTGAGAGACTGAACTTTTTTATCTCGGGAAGTCTAAGACCAATACCGACCGCGACTATATCATCAAGACCAATACCAAGACTGGGGCAGTCTTGGTCTTGGTCTCACTTTGTTCATCATTACTCTTGATTTATTGTAATTTGAAGATTTGTATTAACTTTTAACAACTATCTAAATGTAAAGTGTACGCGAGTGCCTACAGTTTTAAGACACTTGAATAGCAAATATAAATTATTCAATAAAATTTTATTCAAAAGTTTCCTACTTTATTCAAGAGCGTTCATTATCTCTGCCGTTGCTATTCAAATCTTTGCAAATTTTACGCTCCTGCAGTTCAGGAATAATGATAATGAATAGTCGTACCGACTGTTTTAAAGATGTCTCTCATCTTTGTTTAAAATTTTCAGTTCCATGACTTTTGCCGACAGGGCCAATTAAAATATTTAACTGTACCGAAGAGTTAGAAGATCTAAGAATGGATCTATTCCATCTAAATTTATAAATAAGTCAATGCAGCTGCACGGAACTGCAAACATACAACAATACTTTTATTTTTATTTAAAGTAGGTAATAATTTGCAGACTGAAAAAATGACATCTCAATAAAAATTTCCTTGTTCCTACAGAACTAAAGGGTTAATTCCGTTTCAACGAACCATCGCCGTCACCTTGAAAAATTATTTGGTCTGCGCTATTATTTGTTCTTTCTCTACGTATTTTTCCAAACTAAGTTATGTGGCTTGCTATAGATTTATAGGCGGTTTATTATGTATTGATTTATTTTCATTCCATGCTCTTCTGTCAATATTCATCATCATCATAGTGTCGTCAGTCCTAAGACTGGTTGGACACGTACCTCCACTCTTTCCTATCCTGAGCTTATTTAAGGATGTGTCTAACACTCTAACTCCTCTCTAAAACTATTTTCTAATACTGCTGTATCATTCGGATGCTATGTTGATACAATGAATTGTCTTAATTAACTTTGAATTGTCGATTTTAAATTTTGTATTTCTGTTTGTAGCTGAATTGCTTCTCACAAAGTTGTTTGTTGGCAGATGAGGAATACACTGTACTAGTGCCAACAGATCATGCTTTTCACAGATGGCACCCCATCGATTGGGGGTTTTATCCGTTTAGCGTACCAGAATTTACAGAAAATATTATTATGAATCATTTTGTGAAGGGAAATTATAGACAAGAAATTATACGCGATGGAGACGTATTGAAGACTTTAGGCGATCAAGATCTTCTATTCAGAAAAAATCGTAAGTAATGTAAATATTAAGTCATTGCAACATATTCAAATGAAAGATTGGATTTTATGACTCATGTGAATAAGTTTTTGTTTTCTAAAGCTACATAAAAATGGTAAAGACAGCGGTTATAAAAGAAAACAAAAGCAAAGTTAACGTAAATTTCTATTAAGAAGAATCAAAGTATTTTTAAAATTATATTGAAGCATAGAGGGAAAAATAGTAGTGCATTTTAAATAAATACTTTTTAGAAAAAGTGTATGTAATTTTGTTTCATACTTTTTAATTTTTCATATCGTTGCAAGTTTTGACAGACAGACTGACAGACAAACAGCACAATAATTTAAATAAACCTATTAAAAAGTGCCTTATCAACATTGGACATACACTATTGAATGACATGTATGCGAAATAATAACAAAAGATTGTTCCTACATATATTGCAAAATATGGGAAATACATCTTATCGTTCAATTTTACTTATTACAAACATTGGCCGTCAATACCTTCTTGTGTCTGGTCATAATAATTAAAATTTCTCATAACAATGATTTATACTTTCAATAATATCAATTACTTTTGAGAATACTTTTTAATATTTCCTTTTTAATTTTTGATTTAAGTATGATGCACAGAGAAGTTTACAAGTAGGTAAAAAATAGTATGCAAATTATTTTTGATGGCTAAAATGTAAACACTGTTTAATACACAAAAATTGACACAATGAGGTATAGGTCAGGTCAGACGAACAAAGCTGGCGAGCGGTCGCCCAGGTAACGTACTAGGGAATAATCTAGAAATATAACTTACAAAAAAAAATGAACCTAAAGCTTTTGTTTGCTTTGCGGTTAGTTTTCACATTCACTGTCCTCATCTGAATCAAATACGCCCCTGATAGAAATACTAAAGAAAAGGGGCTGCAATTGTTATAACTAAAACTGCCACCATTTTAAAATTTCCGCCAGCTTGGAGCGTCAGACTTATACAACAGCAAGGAAGAAAGAACATTGTATTAAAGACTGATCTGGACGGTTAGCACGTTTAGCACGTTTCCTTTGGGGTATTTAAAAATTATTCCCTTACTAATTCAGGCAGTTATTGCTCTTTTACTAGAATAAAAAGAAGATGAGGAAAATTAAAAAGAAAAGGAAAACAAGAAAAAAAAAATTAAGTAGGTAATACACAAAAGTTTATTGGACAGAAAAACTAACGGGGAAGTTTTCACATTGTATAAAATGTATGCTAAGTGATAAAGTAAAATTTCATTAGTACTTCAGAATGTCTAAATAAATAATTTCGTTTAATAACATCCATTTACTGGTTACCAACAAAACAGTTGGTGATTCTCATTAGCACCAACGACTGTCGCCAACAGATACCGACAGGCACTGTGACTTAGCCTTGACATACACGAATAGTGTGAATACACAATGCTTATTAAATTAAATAATATTTTAACTGACATGTCACGGAAGGCTACCTGCCGTCGTTTCGATAGTGTGAATCAAGCTTTACACGGTACATGACTGTCTCGCGGTGCTGCCGTCTATAACTACGCGAAAGTAGTCTAATAGTTTTCATTCTTGATCCGCTGTAGCAATAAACGAACTCAGTTTAATAAATTGTCATTTCCATTGCAAAAATGATTCTGTTCTAAGGCCACTTTCACACAGAGCGATAACGACACGATTTACTGTATGCAGTAAATCGCAGCGACACGAAAATATATCCAAAATAAATGTTTTTAAAGTGAACGCTTTCACACTGATGCGATCCGATATTAAAATCGTTGCAGTAAAAAATGTCGCAAATACATTCCGATTTGTGTTTACAAATCTTACGACAAAAATACTACACGACACGTACATTCAATGTAACCAAATGTACGCTTTCATACATGTGTGTCGCGCCAACTTATCGTTGCCCATGGTTGCCGATACTCATTGCTGGTAGTGCTAACCACAATTTGCAGTCATTACCATGTCTTTTTCAAAGAAAAAACATTCAATTACGAAATAGTGAATTTTAATTTTTCGCTCCATTACATACATACAACTAAACTGGACACATCGAGGGTAGATAGATTCGCATTTCAACTTGGAACGTTGTCGAAACAATATTTAGTCGCGTAATATGAAAGCGGCGTTGCGATACAATACGACAAATCGCGTGCGGTAAATCGTGTCGTTATCTCATCGTGTGAAAGTAGCCTAAGGATTTTTTTAAATCTTTTTGCAGCTACACTAACTGTTAACGGGATTCTTGTCGTAAAAGGTGATACGCCTTTAAAGAAAGGAAACATCATGTTCATAGCTGAGGTGCTATTCGTCAATGAATCCGTCGTCTCCCGTCTACATCAACAGCACCGTGACAAGGAGACACCACCATTACTAGCATTCCCTTGGTTTGGTGCACAATTTCTATCTCATGCCTTTTTAGCACTCGAACGTGACAATAGGTTCAAACAGATAACGAGATTTTTAAATCTGGCAGACTTAGCGCCTCACGTCTCAGGAACTGGATATACTTTTTTCGTTCCCACCGATAAAGCCTTCGAGGAGTTGGGACTCGATAAAATGCCAGACAATTATCTATCAAACAGCGAAGGCCTCCAAATACTACTTAATCATTTCGTAAAGGGAAGACTCTACGACAAGGACCTCAAGGATAGTTCCGCAATTCAAACTTTGGGCAACAAATCAATAATCATTAGCAGAGAAAATGGTAAGTTAAATCGTTTCCAGTACAAAGCAGATTAGGGTGAAGCTATAAAATATAAAAATTTTAAGGTCGTCTTACTGTAAACAATGCAACTGTTATCGAAAGTGAAGTCTTCGTATACAACCTGGGAACAATGTATTACGTTGATAAACTTCTTTTTATAAACAAAAATTTATTATCTGGTACAACTACTACAAAATTGTCGGCTACAACACAATCGTCATCTACATCGACTGCGGTTGATACAATAACCGAAGAAACATCATCAGATGCACCCGAATTGTTCACAACTTCGGTTAGTGACGCTTTTACAATGGACCCGGACTCTGTCACTATAGAACCTTCCGGGATACTAAATGTTACACAGAAATAAAAAGGATAACTTGGAATGTAGAATCAGAAATGTCATTATGCATATCACCCTTTCCTATAAATGGTAAACTTCATTCGGATGCTCGTGTGGAAAGAATTGAATATTATGTTCTGATGAAATTTAACAGTGGAAAGATTATGACTGAAGTTCACTGCGCATTACTCATAATTATATATTATGGAAAACAGATATATATTTGATAAAGGTCTAGATGATGGGGGGGGTCGAAAGAGGAGGTCTTCTCTACCACTGTACCATAAAAAGTTCGTGGCGGTCTAACCCCCATAAGAAGTTATGGGTGTTAGATGATGGGGAGATCGAAAGAGGGTGGTCACCTGAGTAAAACCTCATTAAAAATTTTCGGCGGTCTCACCCCCATAAAAAATTATGGGGGTTGAAAGTTGATTATTTTGACAATTTTCATAGACTATAATTCAAATAAAATTCAATAAAAAAATTATTTTCAAGCGGGTGGAGGTGGGGGATCGAAAGAGGGTGGTCACTTGAACAAAACCCGATAACCTAACCTAACCTACCCTATTGATAAAGATATTTAAATAATGTTTTATATAACTTTCTCAATATTTTTATGTATTTTTCATTAGTTTTACCTTTGAATATTGTTTAAGAATGACTATGTAAATATTTACATGCCTAGAAATGTATAAAAATTGGCATATTTATTAACTTTGAACCCCCATAACTTTTTATGGGGGTGAGACCGCCACGAACGTTTTATGGTACAGTGGTGGAGGAGACCTCTTCTTTCGATCCCCCCACCCCCAACCCCGAACGGGGTGGGGGCCATCATCTAGACCTTTACCATATATTTACATTTACATATTCATTCATTTGTACTAACGGCGTTTTCCCTTCGATGGTGTAACTACTTACTTATTGAGTGTTAGACGACTATTATCTATTAAGTGCCGTATGAATTAATGTAAATATGCCTTTAAAATTGTTAATTAGCTTTAATTGTGTACAGTAACTAAAAATTTTCGTAAGATAATTATTATGGGTTATTGTTATACATATATGAAAAGAAGACAAAAACCCACGCTTTCTGTACTAGGAAGTAGGAAGTGGATATTACGAAATTAAAAAATAAAATTTGTAGTTTTAAATACAAAAGCGTTTTGTTGTACTTCTTTTGAGTCGCTGAAGGTAAAACTTTAGGATGCAACGGAAGTTGCGTGCGCACAACTGACGAAATTTTGACAGGATGAAGATCTCTTTTGACTTATTTCTAAAGATTATTTACTCGATTTCCTCAATATAAATCTGATCTGATTATTTATACAATTGCTAATTGGCCTGCTAACCGAATGGTTGGTATTAGTTTCCATTTGGGGATGCACTAATTTGTATTACTATCCTAATTAGGAAGTTATGGATAAGTACTGTGTATTTGTTGCTTATTTATATTTTTGAAGACTATTGCAAGACCTTCTGCTTTAATTTTTTATCAGTTTTCAAGAAAAATATACTATAGCATTCACATATCCGAACTTTGAAAGTCTGTTTAAGAGACTGGAGCTGGATGAAGATGTGTCAAAGGTCTGTTTGCGAAACGGTAGTCTAATTGCATATTAATCTAGATGGTAACATTTTAAACTTCTTCTTCTTCTTATGCAAGTGACATCACGTCGTCCTCCTTCTTGTCACACAATATCACACTTAGTTGCCCCATCCCTCTCCCTTAATGTGAGATGTAATTTATGGGTAATTCCCCAGAAGATTAATTTGATATCTTAATTAGGTAAAATATTGCACGTTCTCGTTGTTGTCTCTAGCCTTCCATAAAATACGTCACTCATAATTTCACCTTTTTGGACCCTCCCTCCCTTCTCGTCCCCTAACAAATATTTCGTCAGAAATGTTACCTCCCTCCTCCCATAAACAATTTCTTGTGATTTAAAATAGCAATAAGAATATGACTATAAAAAAAATGCCAAATTGGGAAAAATATTAAAATAAAATTGATGAACCTCGTACCTCCCTAGACCTCCACCATCACGCTAAGAAATACCCCTCCCTCCCCCTTATTTGTGAGCGTATTTTATGAACATAACTTTAATTAATATCCTTATGGAAGCTAAACATGAAAAATAATTAACGTGCTATTAACATGTGTATACTTTTGCAATTAAAAAGGACCTTAATCAAACTTTATTAAATTTGTGAAACAGTCATAGAATTTATTTGTCTGAATTCAATTTACTTTATTATTCGTTTGTCTTTTACTTTTTGCCTTCTTTATTCAAACAACAACTGATATAAGTGAAATAATAAACAAGGTTACTTCAAGAGCAAGCAAAAAATGTATACTTTCACAAACAACACTGGTAGTAATCTTTTCCTGCGTATCATCCAATAAAAGTTACTCCACGCTGGTCACCGTGCAAAGGATTTGTTCCACAGTTATCATTTTAATACAGTTCGTCGGTCGTTAGTGTCTCGATTGCTGTGTAATGGTATTTCGGACTGAAAAATTAGTGTGTAATAGTGTTGTAAAGTTGTTATCATTAATATAGGTAACCAAAAACTTCTTGTCTCAGCTTATGTACATTAGTATTAAATAAGAATGAGAACTGACTAAATATCAAGTGTTTTTACCATGTAGTGCAACACATTATAGAAAAATGAAAACGACTTGAGGATAGAGGTACAAAAGACACGAAAAAATTACTCCATTTTTCAACTTTACTTTGGAAACCCCTTCAATGGATTAAGTCTACAGGTAGGAAGTACTTTAGATAACTGAAAATCTTTATATAATGCGAAACATAAAACGAAAAACGATTCTGTGTATGTATACTAAATATTATATATTAAAACGTGAGCGTTAACCTCTCTAGTACCTTTTTTCGTCATTTACTAGTAGTTGCCGTTAAGTAAAGCAATAAAATATAAGGCGGTAAACGGTATTCAAATATTACGTACAAATAGTTCCAATGCAATTACATGTTTGTGATATAATTGTTTTGCAATGACAAAAATTGAGGTTCACTCATGCGTATGTAAACCCAAGATGTATACCATTTTATTTGAAAAAAATTGGTCGAACTAATGCTATTCTGATTCAGGCCTAAAGGCCGTAGTGTGTTCCGGACTGGTCAGTCCCCTAATCAGAACTGCATCAGGTCACCTACTGACCGCGGAAGCCTTTACTAATTTGTCAAAATTGATAGAATTTTGATCGCACGTGAAAAATTATTCCAAATGGTGAATTCCGAATATGAAATTCAAAATAAATAGTTAAATACCTACATACAATGAAATAAAAATATTAAAAGCACTTTTTCAGCAAAAATTTTATTACAATTGCTTCAACATACATCGTCTTATCCAGAACATTAATTTATTATTTGTTAAATAGGTAGACATTTTTATGCGAAATGTTTTGCGTCATTTTCTGCAGTTATTCATTTATATAACTTACCCTTTTATATAAAATCATAAAACAATCAACAAGTTTAAAGACTGATCCTCCACGACAGTAGCGGGAAAATCTGAATTTCAAAACGAAGTAATATAAGTAGTGTAATAAACATTATTTTACTCTAGATGGTATCTTATTTAATGAATTTAAAACAGCAAGAAGAGATATCAAGTTTTTATTTTTCCAATAAAGGAAAATCAGAGATGTGTTTTATTTGAAATATTTGCATTTAAAATGCAAATACAAAATAAAAAATACCTATTTTTATCTTGCACTTAAAAACTCTTTTGAGAAAAGCATTTTGTATTTTATTTAAAATACTTTGCCAAAAATATTTGTAAAATGCAAAATACATTCTTGTCGTTAAAAGTTTTGCTAATATCTCCGATCAAACATTATATAAATTAATGAATGAAAGTTGCTCACATTGGCTATTGAAGGTGTTAGAAGCCTAAAAAGGGGACAAATAGACATTCCATGGATGCCTTCTAATTCTTTAACTGAAGAGAATCCAAAAAATTCTAAACTCCTTGGAAACGGATAATCTAAAATATTAGATCGATATTGTTTTCCGGGTTCAATGTCATAGTCAATGGAATTTTGAAGTTCCAAATTGATATCAGCACCTGCCAAATCACTACTTATCGTACATTTAGCAAGGAACTACAAAATTATATGAATTACAACAAAATAGCCCGCAAAATAATATCGAATTAATATACGCCAGCTGTGTTAAACTGAAAACTACAAAATATTGTGGTGTGCTAATAAATGCTTAGGTATAGTCCAAAATTCTTATAAAACGATTCCGAAAATTTTACTTATTAGATGAACCCAAAGCTAAAGAAACAATGGAGTTCATTTCTTTCTCTTATTACAATGTGTAAAAGATCGGAAACAAAATGGGGTTGTAAATATTTTGATATAAAATGATTGATGTTAATTTTACATCAATAAAATTATTTGCAACCCTATTT